CCAGTGAACATCTTGCTTTCATTTTCTCGTGTCGAACTCACCGAGGCAGTTCTTACGCCGCAACCAAGCCGCAACTTTGAACTATGGGCCGAAATCTTCGGGTGTCGGGAGAAATATTCCAGAGTATGACCTTGACCTCCAGCTTCGGTCTCGGCGTAAAAGACGATGATCAACGGGAGGATCAATAGGGAGGTGATCAATCATTAGGGCTGTTCACAGTAGCCCTTTTTGATTCCTTTTTACTTCTTTTTGCTCTCCTTTTTGGCTTCCTTTTTCAAAGAGGGAGCAAAAATGAACCGAAAAATGGGTAGAAAAAGGGCCCTTTTCGAAAAATGGACACACCCCTTCATTTTTCAAAAAGGACCCTTTTTCTGTTCCTTTTATTTCTCCTTTTTCAGACTGCTTCCTCTCTCTCACTTCATTCTGGTTGGGTTACATAGTTCCTACCCACTCAAATGCACTCTGAAAAGGTTGTCTGCCCCTTAATACATGCAAATATTCTAGTGGATATGTATGTTCATTCAAGTTCTCATTTTTCTCTCCTTTTTGGCAAATCTGAGTGCTTAGGTGTTCACAGTAGCCCTTTTTGAGTTCCTTTTTGAGCTTCTTTTTACTTCCTTTTTACCCAAATGGCTGGGAAGTATGATGGTATTTACTGTCAAAAATTCTTAACACACCTTCGGGAACATTGTACAGTGCACGTGAGGTGTATTTGGTGTACATTCAACTGCAAAATGTACATTTCTGAGGCTGCAGGTACCTGAATTGTGAACAGTCTAGGCCCCAAGTTTGGGCATGCACAAAATACATATAAAAATGACTTGAACTGGGTTGAACTTCGAGTTCATCACCAGATTGTCGTGACTCCGGTGATCACGGCCCATAGTAGCTCGGGCTCCTCGGTCCAAAACGGGCACCTTTCATTTTGATTATTTTGCGAAAGGGAGAACTCCGATATTTTACTTCAGACACTTGTCTGAAGCCAACCTATGGCTAGCAGAAAAAATGACGAAGGGTATCGAAATGGTGTGATTTTTCTAGGACCTTGAAAGGTAAATTGAGACTGATCTCTCCAGCCCAACCATTGAAAATATGCCCCGGTGGGTGGGATTAAGGCCTGTCTTGTGGCCTTTTATTTGGCTGATTCCGTCGCGCTATGATGCCATGTGACCAGACATGCGGCCGGGACAAGCTCATTGTTCAACTTGTGATTGTACAATGTTCATGTTGTAAAGTGCCATTTGAGAAGTCCATTATTGCTCTACTAATAGTACATATTTTTTGATGAAAAAAGCTTTTATAGGGAAGAGACAAAAACAAGCAAAAAGGAAGTAAAAAGGAGTGTGAAAAGGAGCCAAAAAGGGCTACTGTGAACAGCCCTATTGGATCGCCACTGCCAGCAACCTTTGTGATCCCATGCATAGAATGTTCCTGTGACAGGTCTTGGTACTCGACCGAAAGACTTGAAATTTGATCAACAAGGTTTAAACAATCCGTTCACCGTGAGATCTTAAATTCCAGTGTAGTTCGTTTCCAGTGATTTTGCGTTTCCTCTGGACGCTCATTTCAAGCTCAGACAATGGATTCACTGTCGAAAGTCAATTTCTGTATTTTTTTAGGTCTAATGATTCGCTAATACACCGAGAACGCTGAGCGACGCCGGAAATCGGTCCGAGTATCGAAATGCGCGTAAATCACAGGAAGCAGATTTGCTACTACTAGTACAAGAGCGACTACCACAGAACTAAAACCCAAGTCTCGTTTTTGCTGAGGAAAGCTGTCCTATCTTTCCACCTAAACGGTAATCTGGTGACTCAGACGTCCGAGCCACAGCAGCCGGGATCCGTACGCCACTGTCCACAGACATCAGTTTCGTATCCTCCCTGTTTCGAATCAAGTCAGTAACGATGAGTGTATAATATTCCTATATAAACTTACTTGTTTTCCGTTCACTCCGCCAGTGTTGCATCCGTCGACGGGAAGGCGGAGGAGTCGGTTGCAATTTCCGTCGATGACGAAGTTGCAGCTTGAAACTCCAGTCAAGTCACTGTACATGGAAAAATAATTGATAACTTACCCGTTGATGGCTTCACCACTGACATAAACGGTGAAGCTTCCATAGTTGTACCGGGCCTGATCGCCGAATTAGATGATGCGTAATCAAGCGAGAACTTTCACTGACCCAGACGGTTTGTCCGTTTGCCACATGGGAGCCGATGACCTTGCCGCAGAAATCATCGATTACAGAGACAATTGGGCCGCGGTCCGCCTGATATGCGTCGTCAGATCGAATCTGTTCGAGAATTAAATCATCGATATCTCTTACCTTGGTTCCAAATCCGTAGCAGCTGACGACCTCTGGATTGCTTGTGAGATGACATGACGAACACATTAGAGAAGGCGAACTTACCAGTGCCGGCACGCGGGGCCAAAGCAGTATTGTTCTTGTAGGCTATACGAATAATTGAGCTGTGCGGCGTATTTGCAGGTCATCGGTCTCCTTACTGATTCCTTGCTCAATGCTCAACCACTAGGAGAAGAAGCTCAGTATCACATCTATTCATATGGTCAATCATACAAACCGTGGCCGGAGTGTTGGTGACCTCCCCTTCAACGCGGCCTACAAAAGCTGCAGAGGCGGGAGCTGCGCCGGCAATGGCAATGGCAACGAGAGCAGAGATAGAAAGCTTCATGATATCGAAAGTAATGAGTTTGGTGTCGATGAAGTCTGTAGGGATGATACTTGGTATGGTCCAAGTAATGAAGTTTATTAGGGATGTACCGACCAGCTTTTATAGCAATTTATCTTCAGCCTGGGTCAAATCCAGCCGCTCAAGGATCGAAGCAATGAATAGGAACCAAGACGAAACTTGAAACTAGTGTTCCAGTCTATGATTGCACCGGTAGAATTATATTAAACACGAGACGGTGAGGGTCAGTGGGACAAACTGACAAGCAAATACCAAGCCTCGAGCTACGTGAAATTCAATTACGATTGATATCCAGGTCTGCATTCAGGCTTAATCGGTTCCGTGTTTGGTCCGTGTGTTGATGTTGAAATCACGCGCCTATCTTTTTTGGACAGTGATGTTCAGCTCGGCTTGGCGCCAAGCTTGCGGCCGAACCAGTACCTGGATTTGGCCTAGCGCAATTGGAACCAAGTACCAATTTACCAGAACATGGGCGCCTATGTAGGCTAAGAGGTTCTGTGGAAATTCAATCGCGACCGTTCCGTAGCTTTTATAGATACGCAAGTCTCCTCGAAGCTGGGGGACAATGGAAGTCTGAATATTCTGTCGAGATTCCTAATCTAATCACCGATAGCTGTTGGGCTATATGGAATGCCTGGATCCCGTTCAGATTCTAACCGAACATTAATCCCCTAACATTGAATAGGTGTACAGCAAGGGGTCCGAAACACATCAGTGTCAATATCAAAACCTCACGCGTAAAACTCTTATTAAGTCCAGGCGTAAATATATATGTTGAACTCGCGGACGTACCTTTCTCAAGCGCAACGCGCGCGGTGATGGTAAGTCAATTCGACAGATTGGGGCCGCTTCTACATAATAAACTGAACTTACGGCGTAGTGCTTGAACTGCTCGCTTAGGTGTTATGTGGGACACGTTCGTTATGTAGGCCGACATGTTCTGTGGGGGAAACTCAATTGTGATGATTCAGAATGATCTGTAGCTTATATCACCATGTTCTACCCAGTTGACTGTCAGTTCTTATTGTAGGCCAGACAGCGTTAGGATAATATACCTCCTCGTCCGTCTCACATTATCGAGAGCCCACCCCGGTTCCGTGTCGGTTCTGGGAGTTAATTCGGACCTCTTGGGGGGCCAGTTTGACAGATTGCCGCGCTTCTACATACAAAGTCCTCCAGGTTAACCCCGGTCGCGTCTTGGCTTAATGCAATTGCTTACCCTTCGAGGGCGGGAGTTAGAGCGTGAGTTCGACGGATTGGCGCCGCATCTACATAACAAACTGACCTTCCTACCCCGGGCGCCCCGGCGGGAAATGAAAGGCGGGATGATTTGACCGCATCCATCTGGGCTGAAGAATTTAAATTTTAACCTTGAGTTTTCTGGTCGTTCGAGGGCCCTCACCAAAGATGGCATTTTTGAAGAAAAATAAGCTCCGCGAACGGACTTGTGCGTAACGTGGTTGAGATTACTGAACTTGAAGCGATGAAAAATGGGATAATAAATGTGCCAAGGAAGACGAATGGAGGCCCTCAGAGAAACACCGGCCGAACAAAGCGGATTACGTGTGCTGAACACATGTGGCGTTCACATCCGTCGGCTTTTGCCCTCGGTGAAAGGCAGGAAATGAATGGGAGATTAAGATTTCGTCATGTATCTGAATACGAGTCTATGAATACGGTTGGATACAGACATAAATCTGTTTTTCGCCGATCAAGGGGCACAGTTCGGTCTTCAAAATCCCATCAGTGGCAGATGTGGCCCAGAAGGAGCCATATAACTCGGCAAGTGATCAACGCCGTTGAACCTCTTTGAACCTCGCCGGGTCGGATCAAAATTTCATGAGGGCAGAACGGAGCTACCACCCCACATATTTTTGTCTCTAGATCTGCGTAGGTTCTATGATTCTCAAAGCATATTAGATGAGGTCTGAGACTACTGGGCCCTAGACCAGCGTCCTGCTCATCCAGGCAGACAGGGAAACCTGAGATACATTAGAATATCATCCACGTCAGGATGAATACGATGAATACGTACGGTAAACGTCATATTTATATTGAACGGCGCGACGGCAGATGCGGAAATACTGGACGATCCGACAGCGCGCCAGGGAACGGCGGGGAGACCGTGACGGAGACGACGGGCTTGCATCCGTCCACCATAAAGCACTGAGTGCACACATTCTCAGAGAAAGGACACAACCATGGAAGCTAGGCAGGTGTGCCACACGCCTGGCATGGTCATTATTCGCCCTCTGCACTGTAGATATTACCGTACCACCCTGGAGCATCGGCTGTGTAGTGTAGCGGTTATCACTTCAGATTCTGATGGATAAGAACGACTGTCTAAGACTTCTGGCGACCCCGGTTCGATTCCGGGCACGGCCTTTTTATGTTCTCTGCGAACCTGCTGCGTTTGTACCCTTGTATGTACCACCAACATGATTTCGGGTGAAAATTCATGGGTAAACTGTGCGGCTGGTTCCTCGTTCTGCATCTAGATGAACGAGTATGCTTTGGGCATATGATTACCTGAAGTTCATGTTTGTCATCAGACTGGGTATAGAACTCGATGAATAACTGTCTACTTGAAATGCGGCGGTTTCGGGCAAGTGCGGGACTTTTTATTGCAGGAGTATACGAGAATCCTGACGAGGCGTAGCGCGGCTGCGCGTAGATCCTAAGGTGTACCCACAAAGTTGTGTGATGTCCATACTCTTCCTCTCATTTCGCGGGCAGTGCAAACTCAACTACGGGTGGATATGTACATGTTTGTGAACTGCAGTAGCAGTAGACTTAGGCTGAACAGGTCGACGGGACAAGAGCCCAGGCATCATGGAGCCATTAAATACGGCTCGTTGATTGTAGCGTTGCGCGTGCGACTGGCTCGCGCAGACGAGACCTGATGCTACGCACCATGTCGAGCCCTCTCCTCAGAGATAGCCCGCACGGTCCATGAGATGATCTCCGCAGGGACCTCGGTTGGGATTCGTCTCGTGGCCACTGGCGAGAAACTCGCGGTCTTCTTGCGTGAGTTGATGGATGGGGCGAGGGAAGAAGGAAGATCACAGTATTGGTCAACAATTTCACGCATGGCAATGGCATTCGAGACGGCAATCCCCACGTCCACGAATTGATGAAATTTTGCCTCGCGCCAGTAACGAAAGATCCAAGAAGAATTTCCAGACCAGCAAGCGTCGCTGGATTCGGTCCCGGCCCCGAGTCTGTGAGCCTCCAGTGCGCAACCCTCGGCTCTCCAGCGGAATTCCAACATCTCAAGACACATTGTAATCGTCGGAGCTGTCCTCGTTGCAGAATAATCCTGGATCTGTTACGCAGCTGGGAGCGACGATGGGGCTTCCAACGAGGCGGTGAGAGTCAATACGAACGTAGTCTTTTGAAGTAGCCATCGCGACATCGACGATCGAATCAGGGCCTTCGGGTGGGCGGGACGGTCGGAGCAGCGGAGCTCAGGCATCTGGACTCTATGGTCTGAGATGCAGAAGTTCTGCGGGCTACCAGTGGGGAAAAAGGAAAAGCGACCTGGCTGCCAGTGACGAAGGGGTTTAGACCTTTGTCTCAGCGTGAGGAGTGACAGAATTCCGGAGGCGCGCTTCAGTTCCACGAGTATCTATGATTGAGGACGTTCGGATCCGATGCGACAGGATGATTTCGCTGGATTCTGGCTGGTAGGTCGAGTTGGATTTCGATATGTCGACGAGGAGTTGCGCCAGCTGCAGAATATTCGGATGCATCTCTCAAGAGCTGATATGGTAGGGTTTGCGAGGCCAGTGTGACTAGCAATATGTAGAGAGAGATGTGCGAACAACGTGGTGGTCGCAACTTTGAAGTCGGGCCGACTCGCGCGCGCAGCAGCAGCACGTGAGCAATATAGCGCCCTCCGCATGCCTCCTCGCGCTCCACCCACTGTCCGGCCAGCGACCATCTCCGAGCTCGCGACCGCCGCGCAGTCGGACCCCGATGTCTCGCCCTCCAGCAACCAAGAGCTCAAGCACTACCTGCGCCGCGCCGAGGCCCACCGCAAGGCCGGCACCGCCCTGGCCTCTGGCGCAGGCGCGGGGCCCACGGCGAGCAATCGCGGCGGGACCAGCGATACCGGCACGGATTTGGAGCGCGCGTTCATCGAGTACGCGCGCGCGGCGACGCTGATCGTCGAGAAGATCCCGGCGCATCGCGACTTTGCGACTGGCTTGTCGGCAGAGCAAAAGTCGAATTTGACGGCGGTGAGTGTGGATGGATCTGTGTTCTTGCGGGGGGGGGACTGGCCGCTGTCCAATGTCGGAATCGTCAAAGATTGCGATATCTATTTGGGTCCGGCGCACGAGCGGACGTCCAACTTGGTGCTCCGACCAATCTGGTCTTTGGGCACAAGTCGAATTCGCCCTTTAATTATGGCGATTTCCATCCTTTCGTGGCGTACCCCGCGAGGCGCATGGCGGCACGAGCGCGAATATAGCTTGATCCCTTGAACGAGTTTGTCCGGGGTTGGGGCACAAGTCGGGTACTTGATTACAGGGCATCGATTGCCCTGGTTTCGTATCCTGCGCCGCCGGGGTACGTCCCGTGCGCATAGGGCGCGGCCCGTGGCCCTGATTGCGGCGCGACGGACGGCTACACTCCTGCACGCGACACTGCACACCTGGCCATCGCGAGCGCGAATAGTACGCCGGACGCGCGGGCCTTACCCGACTTGACATACCCCCTCCATGTGTCTCGTTCTAATTATTATCCTCTTCCTCTTTCCTCCTCGTCCTTTTCCTGTTCCTCGATATCATCTACAACTAACTCCATTCCCAGAACGGGCAAGACATCCTGCACCAAATCGGGCGCCTCAAAGCGCTGCTCGTGGACCGCTATGAGCGCTACGCGAGCAGCCCCGCCGCGTCCGCCGAGGCCGTCCCGTTCTTCATGCTCCCTGCGTGCGTTTCTTCTTGCCTTTTCCTTCGTTTTCCTTTCGCTTCATTCGTTTCCGTTTTGTTTCCATTCCCTCCCTTCCTTCCCTCCCTCCTTCCACCCTCCCTCCCACTCTTTCCACTCCTCTTCCCTCGCCTAGTGTACTGACACAAAGCACAGCCCCGCCCCCGCCCCCGCCCGCCGCGCCTCCCAGCAGGCGCACACACAGGCGCAGCGTGCCGTCGCAGACGAGGCCGCGCAGTGGCGCGCGCAGCGCGAGGACGCCGCCGCGCGCGATCGCGACCGGGGCGCGTACGGCCAGTCTTCGCCCACCCCGTCGGCGTATACCCCGTCCTACGCGAGCTCCTCGCACAGCTCCTCGCCCACAGCGTACACAGGCTCCTCGCCCACGGCGTACACCTCCTCCGCCTCCGCAGCAGCAGCGGCGCACAGCGCCGCCGCCGCCGCCGCATACGCCCCCTCGTCTTCTTCTTACGCCCCCTCCTCCGGCGCAGGGCCGCCGATGCCCGTCGCCGTGCCCGTCTCGCTCGCCCACCACGGGCATAGTATGAGCGGCGGCCAGCCGGCCGCGCTCCCGCCGAGCTTTGCGCGCTCCACGTCTTCGGCTTCGGCTTCGGCTTCGGCTTTGGCTTCTGGGGCGTACGGCGCAGGCGGGGCGTCGGGTGGGCCGGCGTACGCATCGGGTATCGCGTACCCGACGAACCCGAGCGGCACGGGCCCGGGGTACCCCGCGAGCGCGGGGGTGTCGTTCGCGTCGGCGGCGCACCCGAATCCGAATCCGAATCCGAATAGGCAACAGGCGAACCACGCGCCGAGCCAGTCCGCGAGTTACGCGCCGAGTTCGTCCGCGAGCTACGCACCGAGCTCTTCGGCGAGTCAATACAGCACCCCTGCTAGCCAATACAGCAGCAACGCAAGTCAGTACAGCACGCACACGCACACGCCGAGCCCGGGGCCGATGCCGCTGCGCGCGGCGCATGCGAGGGTGTACGAGTACGACGGGGAGAGTACGGACTCGGACGTCGAGGGGAGCTGGCGCGGGCGCGGCAGGGGTGCGGGCAGCGCGTACCCGGCGTTCCCGGTGCCGGCGCCGAACCCAGGGAGCGGGCAGGGGCAGGGGCAGGGGCAGGACGAGCGCGAGCTCGCGGCGCGGATGGGTGCGCTTAGCACCGGCGGGGCGGGGGCGGGGTCGGTGTCGTACCCCGCGCTCGCGCGGCACATGTCGTCGCACCAGCGCACGCAGGGGTACGTCCCCGGCGCGTGGGGCTCCGCGCTGCCGCCCGCCGCGCCGCTCCTGCCCAACGCCAGTATGGGGACCGGCGCGGGTGCGGGCACGGGGGCCGCGGGCGTCGCGGGTGTCGGTGCGCGCGCGGCGCTGGACGCGGCGCGGGCGGCTGCGGCGTCGAGCGCGACGGTGGCGTATTCGACGTCGTTCGCGCCGCCGGCTGATGCCGCTGCCGCGCAGAGGGAACGGGAACGCGAGCGGGAGCGGGAGCAGCGGGAACGCGAGCTGGCGGCGACGAGGGCAGCGGCGGCGCGCACGGAGGCGGCGGAGGCGGAGCGCGGCGGGCGGCTGCGGACGGTGGTGCTCCCGCACGCGACGCTGCCGCGGTTTTTGGCGATCGCGGCGGCGAATAGTGCGCGAAATTTGGAGACGTGCGGGTTGTTGCTTGGGCGGGAGGTCGTGAGGGGGGCGGGGGCGGGGGCGGGTGGTGAGTGTTTCCGTTTCGTCGTCGTCCTTCGTCCTTCGTCCTCTCTTTGCCTTATTGCCACCATCGTATCCGCCCGCTACACCGGCCGTGCCCACCTTGCCCTCGCCACCCCTCATTATGCACCACGCTAACCACCCCCCGCAGCGCCCGGCGCGAAATCGCGCTACGTCGTCGAGACGCTGCTCGTGCCCAAGCAGCACGCGACGAGCGACACGTGCACGATGGACGAGGAGGAGGGCGTGCTGGGCTTTACGGAGGCGCGGGGGCTGATTACGCTCGGATGGGTGCGTGTTATGGACTCGGTTTTGATTTTCTTTCCTTGGTCCTGGTTTCCTTTTTGGGGGTTTGAGGAGGTTCGAGGGCGGCGGGGAACGACCGGGGGTGCGCGAGTGCTTTGCGCGCTGTTTGGGGGAGGCTGTGGCCGGGGTAGTGGCCGAGTGGGGCACAGAGCCCTTGGCTTGGCGTCAGGTCAGCTCGACACGGGGGTGCCGCTTGCTCCTCGTCCTCCTGTTGCGCGGGTGGAGATTGGGACAGGAGGCGCCGGGCTGGGTGCACTCGATGTGCTGCGCTGTTGCTTCGTTGTCTTTCCCTGGCCTGCCTCGCTGGGGGACAGTAGGTGAAGCGGCGGAATGGGACGTGGAGGGCGGGCGGTTGGCGGAGGTGTGGCTGCGAGGACCGCGCCGTCCCCCTTGTGGGTGATGGATGGAACGGCAGACACGCGAGCCGGAGGCGAGCTTGTAC